ACCACTGCGGAGGCAGCCCACAGCCTGCTTGTTTAGCAGCATGAAGCGACATTACACAACAGGCAACAGCAAGGGAAAAAGATTCACCCATCTACCCAAACGCACTGGGGAAACCTGGCTGAGAGGCAGCAATCCACTAAACAAGGTCTTCAAAAGCTGCCATGGGATTTATGCTGATAGCACGCAGGGATGGCTCTGCATGTGCTGAGGAAACTCAGCTCACCGGTGCCAGAATGCCTCTTCCAAAAGATGGCCCTTCTGCGAGCCAGCTGGAGAAGTTTAAGATGCTGTCTCCTACCTCGCAGGACCGCTACTGCCCTTCTGTCAAGGTTTCCATCCCTGCAGCTCCGCAGACAGATTGCTTCTCGAGAGCCTTCCTTGATCCACTTCAGTCATAATCGGTCAGCTTAGCTCACATGGCATAAATGCTATGTTTGCACTAACCTGGCTGAGCCTGATGGCAGCAGATTACAGAGCACTCATGTGCAACATTCCTCCCACCGACAGGCAGACGGTAATTTTGGGTAGAGATACGGGTTACATACGGCTGGGGCTGAGATGCAGCAGTTACATTCACGGAGCTCTGCAGAATAAAGACACCCGGTGGGCAGCACGAGGCCCTCTGCACCAGCCAGCTGGGGAACACTGCACAGCGATAGGGCACGGCCACCCGAATGGCAACCAGCACCTCCTGCAGCAGGTCTGAGCATCCCGGGCTGGTGGAGCTGTGTACCATGAACATGGATCGTTTATTTTCCAGCAACCCTCAGCCAAATTGACAAGTGTTTTAAGCCAGTTCTAATGCTAACAGCATGGCGCTGCCCTTAAATTTTCTGTCCTCACCAGGCGGGTGTTTACTTCTGGGAAGCGAGCGAATGCAGCGCAGATCCTTCACGGATCAGAGCACAGGAGCACATCTTGTCCCCTGCTACCGACTTCAGAGCCTCCTGGGCAGAGGGCTCCCTGTATACCATGAAGTATTTGCTGCACAAAGCCAGAGTTCACTGGGCAGTGGCAGGTTTAAGCCACCTACTTTGTCCTCTGCACACATTAGAATTTAAAACCTACAATAAAAAGGCTGAAAGGGGAGCTGCAAAGCTTTAATAAAAACAATTTTTAAATCTGCTTGAGATTTCAATTGATACAGCTTCCTGCACAGCAGCTAATGTTTATACTGCACTTTGTGCTCAGATTTAAGTACCATCGATGCCCTCAAACATTTTTTTTCTTTTAGACAAATTGTTTTCTTTCCTCAGCTGTTACTTCCTAATGGTATGAAAATTTCACATCCACTTTCTCTTACTGAATAACCCAGGGCAGGATTCAGACCTCCTGAAACCTATGGACTTTGCCAGAGGGAGAAGGTTAAAAAAAAGGAATTAAATCTGGATGCCAGACCCCCAACCATCACCTGCTCTAAGCCAGAGACAGCAGAAATCTCAATCCAGTATAAATCCAGACTGGCTGGTGGCTGCGGGGTGGTGGCATCGCACACCCCAGTGTGAACAGCCAGGTCTCTGTACCAAAAAAACACCGCTTCAAGGGGCACTGACTGCATGCCAGCAGAGCCCTTGCTCAGCTGCAGATTGGGAGGCCTGAGGCATCGTGATGGCACTAGGTGTTGACGTGAGAATCTGCTCATTTTAGTCCCCTCCTGCAGAGGATCCCAACAGCTACAAAGCTGCACCAGCACCTTGCACCAGCTCTGATCTATTTAGGGAGGTGTTTAAGGCACACAGAGGCTAAATTTCCATTCAATGCAGTGCTCTAATTAGAAAACACCACTCAAAGATCAGACATATGTGACTCACAAATTAAGAGCAAATGGTGAAGAACAAAAACTGGGATGTCAAAATCTATTCTGAATGTGACTTGTGAGGCTGTGTAAGGTAAGCTAGGGCACAACAGGAACCAGGGGAAGCGAGAAAGAGAGCAGATGATAGCTTGGTATTTCTGATATCAAGGCAAAAGGAGTCACGTGTCAGCTGCTGCAGGGGGTGACTGATGCCAGTGGTTACAGCCCCCTGTTGAATTGCTTGTTCTCATTTATAGTCCCTCTCCACAGGTAACTAAGAGACAGCAAGTATTATTGATCAAGCTGCACCAGGCACCAAAGTATCCATTTAGAGGTTTGGTAGCGCAGGAGAGGAAACGTAAATGTGGTCTGGAGGGTAATCCCACAAGCAAAGCACGCAGGAAGAGGAATAAGGAAGCCTCACGTAAGAAGTGTGCCCTTCTTCTTTTCAGACTTCTTTCCAGAAGTCAAATGCTGCTTTCATTCCTGAAAAATCCCACAGACAACCAGCCACAGGATGCGATGCTACTTCAGTAAATCCAGACAGGATACCGGCACTGGGCTTTGTCTGCTGCACAGAAACCACCAGTACTAGAATCAAAAGAACCAGACTGAGAGAGGGGGGAATAAAACAACCTTAAACACCACATTCAATGGTCAAGTTCCAAGTTCCAGCAAGCATAAGTCAGACAACTTCAGAGCTAAGCTTCCCCAGCCACGTTTAGTTCTGTTAAGTTCACGTTTGGCTCTCTGCAGCTGCACTGTGATCAGTTTGCCACCAGCGTGTCCTGGCACATCCTACCTCTGTCACCCCATCCTCATCCAAAGCCGACTCTGCTCTGCCCAATACATGTGGTGGGTGCCCTGCAAATGAGCAGCTGCTCAGCATTTGTTATTTTTTTACCTTCAAAGCTCTTTGTGTGGCCCTAAGCCTTGTTTGCAAGTTGCTTTCCTGCTCCTGCTGTGCGTGCAGAACCGTTCACTTCCTCCCAATCCTTTGTGAAGTGTTCATCTGTATGCATGTATTACACAGCCTTGGGTCCATTTCTGTGTGTCATCCTGAGATGAAGTCCCACGTGGAAGGTTACTCTCCCTGTTTTACACCGTGTTCAGCGAGAGAGGGCAAAGTTGAAATAAAAGTGATGTAACATTTAAATTCTCCTTTAAATTTGTGGTCTTTGAGATGTTCAGCACTTTGTCATATGCAGCAAAGGCTTGCTGCATAATTGAGGGCCTGCTGTGCTTGTTCCCTGCGATTCTGAAATGAATCCAAGGGAAATACAAAATTCAGTGAAATTTGCTTGTTTGTCTTCCTTATGTTCAATTCAAAATCTCTAATGATGATAAATAAATACATAAGATTCTGCTGTGCTCATCAGGAGGATCCGGAAACATTGCAAAGCAAAACAAATCTGTCCCTTGAAATCCTTTCCATCTTGGGGAGTTCTCACTTCACCCCAAGACAGTGAAAGTTCAGAAAAGTCCCGTATTCCTGAAAAGAGCCCGAGTTTGGAAATCAGTGGGGGATGTTGTAGAGCCAGCACCTGGCGCTGTGCAGTGCCCAGGGTGCGGGGTGCAGCAGGAGAGGCTCCTGTACAACATTGACCCTCGCAGCAGAAATGGTTCGGGCTCCTTCCATCACGCTGCTGACGGCCAAACATCTCCTCTGGAGCTGGATGGCAAAGCACGCTGTGACGCCTGCATCTTTCACTGACTTGATTTCACACTTGCTGGAAAAAAATGGGTTCTGCGTAGCTTTCTGACTCTGAAATTTCTTAGAAGACCTGATTTTATTTTGCCCTGTAGCTTCTTTATGCTTAAGGGGGCTGAGATTTGGTCTGGCTGTAATTTACTGCAATTTTAAACCCTATTACCCCCTCAGCATGGTGCTCTATAAATGCAGTGCAGGGCCTTTAATTTTCTAGACAAAGGTATTATTTGACTTCCTTTCATAGTCTAATTATTACTTAGCAAATATCATGTTGTGGTGAGTATTTATGGATAATTCTCAGATAATACCTAATTATATGGCTAATTCTTATAATGATGGGAAAGCCTCAAAGATTCAGAGTCCAGATTCTTTAGACTATCTCCGAACTGCAGATATTTCCCTGCACTTATAAACTGAGCTACAATTTATGATTTTTTTTTTTCCGTTTCTAGAATATAAAACAGCTCTTGCTACAGTATCTCAGACTCCTCAATGGAATTTGGATTCACACATAGGTATGGACTGCTTTGAACTGAGTGACCTGACACTGCTCAAAACCTGATTAACTCATCAGATAGCCTGAGTATGCGAACAATTTATGCAACAGAAGGGGCAGACCTTTCAGAGAATACACTCTTAGGGGAAAGTGGTCTGTGCTAAACGGAGACAAAGGTTTGACTCTACCAAAATTTCTAATTTTCAAAAACATGCGATGGGACGGATAGAGCATGAAGAGAAAGGGGAGAAGTTAGAGCTGCTTTTCTTAACCCTCGTGAATTCGTAACTGTTCCTCGCTGGAAGTGCTTCCCTGAAATGCAGGGATCTGCAGCATGCTGAACTGCTGCGCACTGAGTAAGACCAATCAGACAGACAAACTGTGTTTCCTGTGCAGTGGCAGGGCTGAGCTCCAACCTTCATAGTTCACGAAGTTAGTTCATTAAACCACTCTTGACATCTTGGGCAGCTCCAAATGAAGTTTAGTCTTATCAGGTAACAAACAAGTTCTTGGCCTCCTGGACTTGAATCTCTGAGTCAATACCTCTCCCAGCTGAGGCTGTGGACATAATGATTAATTCACTGCTGGCTGCCTGGGTAAGTGGCTACATAAATACAGAAGGAATGGTGCCTAGGCAATCAGACACTGCAACCTGGAGACACATCGAAATGCAGAGATACTTGGAGAAAGACAGACAGGAAGGTATAGGGCTGTAAGAACTCTTTTGAATGGGTCGGAGTCCTCCTGCATTGACAAAGACCAGTAACAAATGTTTAAGGAAGAGCAGGGCATGTTTAGATCTCTCTTCAAATCATGGCAATCATAAGCAGACTGCATGTGGACCGCTGTATTTTATCACTACCAGTGGACCTGTCTCCTGTGAACCTTCTCATCATAAAGAAATGGATGAGGTGAAACCTCAGTGACTCTGTAAGTGTCAGGGGGATGCCACATCCAGCCAGGGCACTGCGGTGAAGGTGAGCAGTTGAGAACCTCACCTCTGGAGTGGTTGCAGCATGGTTTGTAGCACGGCAGTCTGGGTTCCACTGTCAGCATCACCATAGACTCAAGCAAGGCACTTTGTATCTCTTAGCCTTGATTTACCCCTGTAAAATGAGTTTAACAGACTACTTCATGAAGTAGTCTCAATTAATTAGCATTTGTAAAACTGCTCTGAGATCCCCAGATGAAAGGCTGGCCTGGAATGGCAAATTGCTAATGATAATTAATAGTTATTCGTGAACACTTTACAGAATTCCAAATTATTTTCTGGGGGAAAGAAAGTAGGGATAGAGGCTCTCAAGACAGAGACCACTAAAAAAAAACTCACAACAGCTACACCTCCCCACCTGCCCTGCCTCCTTCCCCAGCATTAATCGGAGGAGCTGACACCTCTCACGAGCGGAGGAAACGAGATGTCACGGAGGCCCCAGGTGCTCCTGTATTCTCCGCACGTTCCTCCTCCGGCACTCAATGTAGCCGGGGAAGGGTAGGAAGGGGGAGTGAGACAGCAGGAGTGGGTGAACAGGGGTGTTACACTTCTCTCTCAAATTGATGCAAAGGCAGCCCTAATTAAACAGATGTTCTTAATAATACTCTGACAACTGTCCCTGCTTTAATTTGCTTCAGAGTAAAGATTAATATAACAGTGCAACAATACTTTACAAGGGGAGAAAAGGGAGCTGAGCTAATAAAAGGCAGTAGCTTACATGGTATATTATTGCTTTTCTTTCTGCTTGTCTGGCGAATATTTACCTCCTCTGGGAGCAGTTTTCATATTTATTTGATCACTCCTCCAAGCTAGAGCTGACTTTGTGGTACATTGCAGAAGGATTAATGCCAGGGCCAAGAGGTGTGCTGGGTACACAGTCACATCAGGGTCTCCATGGTGATTCTCCAGCAAGAGCAAAGATCCCGGTGGCACTGAATTTAGCGGCACTATTAACCACGAGCCATGGCTAGCTGAGAGTGAATTCCAGGTTCCTGTAACAGGAAACTTCTGAAGGATGGGCGGGTGGGACGCAGAAGACAGGAGACCGCTCTCCAGCTGATCCTCCGACCAAAGAAGAAGCTTCTCTCACCTCATATCTGTGCTGGATTAATTTCAAGTGAGAATGGCTGCATTTTTACCCCTGTTTTCTTTTATGCAGAAGGCCAAGAGCCATAAGATAAGAATGTCACACCTCTTCTGATCACCCTGAGTTTCCCTGGGGGTGATGATGTCCCTGCATGCAGCCAGGCTGCGTCTGGCCCTACAGCACCCAGGCTGCCCAGCAGTATTAAATCTGTGCCCATCCACATGGTCCAAGGTTTGGAGTATCCAAATCTCCAATGTCACAGCACCTCTCAGCCTTCATACACACAGTGACACTGAAATCCTGGAGCACGGTATTTGAACTAACAGGTGATTTCACTTTGACTATAACCCTGGGTAGGCTTGTTAAATAATAAAACAAGCCTTATTGTTATACTGACTTGTGCCTGGTTTGAATTCACAAGAATTTAGCAGCAAGAAAGAAACTAAGAAAGAAACTGCTTCTCTCTGAAGCAGCAGAGCTGTCTCTAGTCACTGCAGATGAGTCTGAAGCTTTTTTGGTTCAGGTCATTCAAAAAGGCACCAGCCCAGAAACAGGAACAGACTGCAAGTCCTTCATTTTTAAAAATACATTCACTGCCGGAATAGGATGCTTCACACCTAACAATGCAGCATCTTCTAATAGTGTGTGTAGGCCAACAGACCAGCCCTGTGAAAGGAGAGAGAGAGCAGCCCTGGCTGAATTGTCATCCATTCCAGGCGCTCCTCAGCACAAAAGGTTATTATGAGGGAGCGTGGTTTCGCTACCCTGTGCCTGAGCTGAAATCGCCTGCAGAAATGATTTGGCACCTCTGCAAATAATGTCTGTCACCGCTGTGTGTGCTCTTTGGTGTCAGCTGCTTCCTCAAGCTGCTCTCCTCTGTCTGCAAGGCGCCCTGCTCGCCTATCTCCTCCTGGCAGCTTGCTGCTGGGCACAGCCTGGAGTGGGGCTGAGCTTGCTTTTACCTGGGACCCAGGGCTACAGCTCCGCATCCCACAGCTCCTACAAGAGCAAACACACGTGAAAGTCTGTGTGTGGCACAGAGCTCAAACCTGACACTTGGTCCCTTGGTTTGCCAGGTGGATGCACAAATTATCTCGTTCCAGCAAGAAACGAACACAAATGGGAAACAGCTGGCTTATGGATCACCTCATTAAATTTTCCACCCCAAATCTCTTCCTTCCCAACAGCTAGGAGAGGAACTGTGCCGAGCACTGGAGGCGTTATAAGGCACGTGTATTGGCTGGCACAGCGAGAAGCAGAGAGCAAGGAAGAAGACATTGAGGGAATGGAGACAAGGTGACAAATAGAAAAGGAGGGATCTATGGCAATGGAAAGAAGGAAGGAAGGAAAGGACCCTCTCTCTCCAAGGAATATGGGTTACCATTCAACTATTCTTTAAATATTTTAAAGCTCTGTTTGTTATGCAATTTGTGAAGCTGTTTACGATAATGAAGTCCTTAGACAATAAGGGGGAAAACTGAAGAAAAGAGCAGAAGCTGGCAGCTAAGTACATTGCCCTTTGCTGGAATTAATGAGGCTTGTTTACTTTCTGGCTTTTTACAGCTTTCTGAAATGTCAGGTGTCACCCTGACTATCTTGACAAAAGCACGCTGTCAGCCTCTTTCCCACCCTCCACCCTGTTCCTATACCTCAGCGTCCTCATCTCTCTCCAGACTTTTCCCTCCCAAACCCTACCCACTGACGGACCTTTGAAATTTTCACACTAGGGACAGCAATTTCCATGAATGGACTCATTTTTAGGAGTAAAATATTTACAGCTGTAACATTCCTGGTGCCGTTACACTTAAATGGAGTTAGCAGCATGAAAGCAATCACCATCGCTGGAGTGATTGTGTACAGGAGAAAGCTCTTCAGGCTTCTGCAGCTCCGAGGTTCCCTTGATCTCTGCTCCCAAGCAGGGACAAAGTTGTGCACGTCTGCTGGAATTACCGTGGCTAAATTGATGGCTGCTCCAGGCTTGGACTGACCCGCTCTTGTCCTTGGCAATTATCTTGCATCGCTCTGGGCTCCTTGTCCATCCGAGAACTATTCCTGGATCATCTGCAGACCCTGCAAGAATTATGCTGACTAAAAAGTTGCTTGGACTTCTTTAGTTCTCCCACACAACCCCTAGCAGCTGGACAAGTCTTCCAGAGCTTTTGACTGTGGGACAGAGGGAACAGGGCTGCAGGGCCCTGTGCTCTGAAGCGGAGCAGCGTCAATTACTCAGTCTTTACTCAGAAGGTGAATGTGACTTTTAACTCATGGCAACACTGGCTGGCCTTGATTTAAAGCATTCTCTGGTTCTTCCTTTGCCAGAAGAAAAATGTAAGACACAGGTGGTCAGTAGCCAAAAAGATAAAAAGGAAGAGTGAAGCATAAGGTAATCACAGAATGATTCAGGCTGGAAAAGGCCTCCAAGATCATCTAGTCCAACCTTTAACCTCATGCTGAAGCCCACGGCTAAACCATGCTACTAAATTTTACATTCACGTGTTTCTTGAAGACCTCCAGGGATGGTGACTCAACCCAACAGCCTGTTGCAGTGCTGCACAACCCTTTCGGTAAAGACATTTCTCCTAATACCCAACCTAAACCTCCCCTGGCACAAGCTTGAGGCCATCTCCCCTCATCTTATCCCTTGGTGCCTGGGAGAAGAGCCCCATCCCCACCTCGCTAAAATGCCATGTGTCACAATCCCAAGCTTTTGAGTAATGAGATGTGTACCAGGCCCCAGCACCTACCAAAATGAACACTGCCGGAGTTTGCTGAAGGCAAAACGTAGACAGGAAAAAGGAAGGTTTTAGGAGAAGGTATTTTTAGGCAGCATTATCTATGCTAACAAGAAGGTGGTAAATCCCACCCCCAGCCTCCGTTCTTATCAACCCCACGCTCTCACTGTGCTCTCCAAACAAAGATTTATCACTTAAGTATGAAAACAAGTCAGACAAGCACAGCTGCCCTGATGCAGACACGTTTATAGTTTCCCCTTTCTTTCGTACCCTCCTGTCTGGTCCTGGCTCCAGTGTCCCAGGCTCAGCGAGGAAGAGGAGCGTGCCAAGCAGCTGCTCTCAGCCCGTAACTGTTCCCCAGGCACATCTCAGCCTTGGTGACAGAGGAAGAATTAATACAAGCGTTGCAGGGGCAGGCTGAATTATTTAGTTGCCCCATAAATCAGTTGGCTGGAACGCTCTTTGCACAGCAACATCACTGGCCACTGCTCATTTTTCTTCTCCTTGCTAGGGCTGCCAAAGAGAGTCCCAAAGGTTAATGGCAGAGAGACAACGCCCCTTCCCATTCAGGGAAACTGTCCGCTCTCCTTCCCATCACCCCTCTCTATTTCTGCAGCTGGCTGATCCAGACACAAAGGTCCTGGGGTGCCTGGGTGCCCATTGTGCCCCCCACAGCCTTGCCCAGCCTTGCAGCCGTGTGCTCGTGGTGGCCACAACAGGCAGGGAGGCCTGACCCAGCTCCTCACCAATTTTTGGCAATCATTTGGACGTTCTCCCTCCAATGGCTGACATTTCTCTATGTGGGCTGACTCATTTAATGCCGCTCCTTCTGCTTGTGTCCTCAAAGATTTGTCCTCCCTGAGTACAAATACTCTGCTCCATGGGGACCCCATCCCACTGCTGTCCCCGTTGCTGCAGCTTGTTACACGGGAAATGAGTTTCATGCTAACAACCTGGGTTAGTCCTCCAGCTGAGCAAAAAGCATACACGGACCTGCTCCGTGGTCCTCCCTTCTCAGGGCACAGACCAGCCCTATAAACTACTGGACAGCCCTAAAAACACTGATTCTACTGGATATGGCAGATCTACCCCTGAATATGGCTGTAACTGGTGAGGTATAGCTGTGTCTCCGGCTAATTCAAGGGTCTCAAAGAGTTTTATGGGGATAAATAAATCCAGCTGTTTTAATTCCAGAAAGATCTCCCCGTGCTGCAACAGGCCACTTCTCTCCTACTGTCTGTGCAGTCCATATGCAAGTTGCTCTCAGCATCTCCAGGTGTGGGACCCGAGTGGACAATGTGAAATTCACCCAACATATTTAAATTACACTGAGGTACTGCAGGGTCTAACCGAGTTCCACAAAGCACCGATTCTAACTCAACATTATTCAATTAGTCCATTTTGCTGATTACCATCTGGGTCACTGTTGTCAGGGTTACAGCTGGCTCAGTATTCACCCATAGATCATATTTGAAAATACACCTGGGGAAATGGGGATATTAAAAAATAACAGACCTTGAATGTAACATGATTTCCAAACATTCCCACAGCTGCTTTACTGATCCTAGAGCGAAGCTCAGTTCATTAATTTTGTCCATCTTAAGTAAAGTAAAAATAAAAACATGCATTCCTGTGCACCCTGACAGTGGCTGTGTGATGCAGGGGAGCGTGGCGTGGACAACTTTCTCTCTGACACAGTGTGCATCATGAAGTGGTGTGAACACAGACCTGATGATTTCAAGGGATGGTGTCTGCCTGCGCAAAACCAACCAGGTCTGAGGGACTGTGAGACTGATTGGGGAAGTAGGAGATCCAGAGTCCATACAGGTGAAAGTGACCGTGCTTGTGATTCAAAGAACAGATGCTGGAACTGTGTGCACAAATGCACAAGGAAGAAAAAAACAGTATGAATATTTTTGCTTGTGAATTTGGGATTGTGTGCCTGGCTGCATGTACAAGCAAGAAAGCACATGCCCATGCCAGCCTGTGTGTTGAGGAGATTAAGCTGCACAATTCTGTTGGATGCTAAAAATGCATGGGAGCGCATCGGGAGGGAGCAGGGGGAGAGAATGGAGTGGCACGAATGATTCGGGGATGTGTGGCTGCATAGCCATGTCTCATGGTCGTGCACGTGGCTGTGCATTTGCTAAGTAGCAGCTAAAAGAGGTCAGTTTGGGATAAGCCAGTTGCAAAAATAGGATCATCAAGAGGCTGGAGCTCCAGGTGACAAGAGCAGTGAAATCGCTGCACTTCCAGCCCAAATAAGACCATGTCACAGAAGCACAAAGAGCTTGCAGCTGAGCCCAGGCTGGCGTTACCCTCCAGCCTGTGGTCACAGGGAGTACGTGCAGCAGTCGTGTGAGCACTGATTGCATTATACCCCAGGGAGAGAGTGAACTTCCAGACAAGTCGTTTGTTTTCTAAAAAGGCTAAATCCTTATTTCCTCTGAGAGGTACCACTGGCCTGAAGTTCCCAAGGTCTAAGCAAAGCCATCAGTCACAGTCAACTGGGCCTGGACTGCAGGAAAGTGGCAGTCGTATCTTTCAGAGACAAGTAGGTACATAGGGACAGGCTGTTGACCTGGTAGAAGGCAACTGCTCTAAACAGATGCATGGTGGAAAGGTGTAAACTGGCCTCTATTTCACTTTCAAGAAGAGGACAAGCCAGCTATTTATTGCCTTAGGAGGGAACCTTCTTCACTGACTGTAGATGCAAGAGGCAAGGACCATAACGGAAGGCACAGCAGGAGCAGTAAATGCAAATTAGGCAGTGGTTGGTGCTGCTTGACTGTGTTTGGGACCTGATTTACTGTACAACAGAGCTGGACAAACACTGAGTACATAGGAGGTATCCTTGGAGCGTCGTGGATGTGCATCTGCAGAGCCAGGGATGGGGTGATAGAGACGGCTGTGCCAGCTGTGCCTGGCTCTGGGAAGCTGCCTGCACGTGGATAATCCAGTGTCCCAGAAGTGCGTAAGCTGCTAGATCATGGCCCAGAGTTTAGCTCAGTTTCCATGTGATATCCCTCCTGTGCGAAGCCTGAAATCACTACCCACCACTGCAACGCAGCAAATTCCACCTTGGGTGGAATGTGACAGCTATTTAAGGATGATGCTACACAGTCTGAAATAGGAAGTGAAAGGAGCTCTAAGTTGTGCAAGTCCAGGGGGAATAAAGATAGGCCGAATATTAGCCTGCAAACGGGAAGGCATCCCAGTTCACAGGTACTCAGACATTCAGGTTTACATCTAATCCACCTGGCAGGGACTGACACCACCCTCTGTGACCACAGGACCCCACCAGAGGTACCTAATACACTGATGTGCTTGT